CAGTCTTGGAGTCATACTCCAAGAAATTGTTGGCATCAATGAACCACAATAGCGTCTCGTTATGTGTTCACTATGGGAGAGCTCGTCACATATGTTCCTATTCGCGTCGAGGAGAGGCACCTCCCTACTGCTGGTTGTGTTACATCGTTGAGGTCCAGAACGGACGTAGTATGTGTGTTTTTCTATGGGACAGTTTAGTATTGTTAGTACTATTTGCTGCTTTTTCACTAAGCAGGTGCGCTTTATCTCGGCCCTAAAATTCTTGAAGAATATAGCCGTGTTATATACCGAACTCAAGTTCAAACACTCCACAAGCTCTTCAGGTGCAGAATCCAGATGAAGGACAAGATTGAAGACATGAAAAGCAGACTGTGGGATGTTTGGTCGTTCTCAATGCTTTCTCGGATTCTCAGACTTCAATGGGCTTGTCTGCCTTCCTGAGCGCGAGCTTCAAGGATTCCGCCCTGGCTAGGAGAGGTATTGTCCTTATGGCGGACAAGCCGCAACACCGTTTCCGGGCGCTGGTCTGACCAGAGGAAGTATATACGGAAGTGATATAAAGGGGCTTGCAATCTAAATCAACATGGTAGAGTTGGGTTCTGATGAGGGTGACGCTTTGATCGGCTGAGAAAATAATATTTGGGATGGAGATGTTTTCTACCTCAAGCGCCCCAAAGCTTTTCAGCGGTGCTGATTCAGCTATAGACATGTCCCATAACTCAAATTCCAGATGTCCCGCCGCGTTCTGAATAGATTTGTGATAATAATGGTCTCAGCCGCTCTCCCTCTTAAAATTCGAGGAAGACAGCGGAATTTGTGGGATAGAAATATCGATAAAGGGGCATCAGGTTCCAAAGTTAACAAGCCGCTTCACGAACGTTTCCGGGTGCCTACTGGCTGGTTCGTCTCCCTACTATCAGCAAGTGGCTCCCACAAATGCTCGAGGCTTCATGTATCATAAGCTAAGGTTCCGAATGGATTTCAGGAATCCTGACAGTCTTGGAAGACGGACCTTCTGGTGTGATTGTATCGTTGATAGGTCATGAGCTTGCAAAGTGTTTCCCAAGTGCCAAGATCTGAGATTTAGTGACTGCTTACACATGACTTAATTCGTACCGTGGGCATGCATTTGCAGCTGCATGAAACGTTGCATTTTCTAGTGGCACGTTGCCCAATGCGAAGACTTTCATCTACTTTCAATGTCCGCCAACGATAGTCCAATGGCAATGACCAGTCATTTGATTACAGCTCTGTCCACCAACGGTCGTGGCTGTCCACCGTAAAATGGCGCTTACCTTGTTGAGAGTCTTGAGGGCGCCGCGTAGTCGACCTATAACGGCCTGCATAGTGCAAGAGATGTCTGAGTTGGTTCCCAAGTAAAGCTCCAGTAGCCATAGCACTGAAACTTCGCCTGGTCATTTAAATCACTTCTGAATATCTTGCGGCGAGGAAAGGCACCAGGGAGGCCCCTACCATCAGGCAAAAACCAAGTGTCTTGGAACAGGAATCTGGGCCGAAGACTGCAAGACCTTGGGTGGGCGGAGGGCCGTGAATCGTGAATTTCCGGTTGAAATATAGATCGACCGTGATAGTCATGCGGGTGACATGTTACGAAAACGATTTTCTTGTTTCATGCCTGACCCGAGCGGCAACCTCAGCGAGATGAAGCGTATGGGAGGCCAACATGGGCCTTGATCTTTATCGTGGTTTCTGGAAGAAAAGGCTGGTTATGCGTTGGCAAATCTGAAGGCAGAGACCTTATGTTGGGCTTAGGGTGGTTTTATCGTTCTTCTCTAGGTAACGGAATGCTATCGCTGGAGGGAAGGTTGGGCTAAACCATGGAATGATGCCGAGGATGCGGTTGGCTATATTGAATCGAGGGGAATAGCTGTCCATGACTAGCATCGCTGGTGATCCCAATCAACCGATGAGTCGGATTGCTGTATTCATACACATCATTTAAGAAGCCAACCCTTGCACACGCACCGGCGCAGCGCGGCTGCGGCTGCCAGCGAGGAAGGACACGATGTGTAAAAAATGGCTACAGAGCGATGGGCCGACGATTCTTACAAATGTGTGCAGTTCCTTTGCGCCACTTTGATGAGGTCGAGGAGGAAGTCGTTAACTTATCAGCCCGCGATATGGAGGATGAGGAGGGCTGGTGGTACTCAGCGCTGATTCCGGGCTTCGGACTTGGGCGACCGGGACGGACCCACCAAGCTTGGCCCCGCTCCGTAGCTGCGAGATCGCCCGCATTGCCTTTTGCAGCAGGCGTCTTATCCGAACTACGTAGAAGGCTGCAGACCAGGCTGGATGCCGAGAGTCAGTTGTCAAAATGATATTCAACCCGTGCTGTATTGGTCAAACCATGCTTTGTCTCACCACTTTAAATGCAGACCTGGAAAAAACACTCCTGAGAAGCCGCGAAACCACCATCACATGCATCTCGACATGGCAAAACGGCGGAGGCAGGAACAAGGAAGCGTACTGCATTCGGTGCACGAGATACGGCTGACTTGCTTGGAGAGGAAGGGTGCACTCATCGTGTGGAAAATTCAGGACTTCGAACGTGCAGGTTGTCGTGGCGACATGCTTCTCACGCCTCCAACACTCAGCCTGCTCCAGACTTCCGTGGCCAAAGTGGGACCCTCTTGTCCGGAATCTAATGCAATACTGTGAAGACGACACGGACTTTTCCCAGGGAAGCGGTCCGCCAGCCGGTGTTATCCCGACGCACAGATTAGCTCATGCTGACTCAGGGTGGGACCATCTCAGCCAATCATGTATGCTCGTGAGGGGGCCTCGCCGCGCAACAACATTCCGCCGAGCTGAGATCGCCCAGCCACCCAGCCACGCGTGGGTGGTCCGTCTCAACATTCTCCGCTCCATCACGTATTCACGTGGTGTCGCTTCGTATCATCACCTCCATCTTCAACCCCATCCACTCCAGCGTCATTTCTATCCCCGCCCTCGTTTCTCGTGCCAGGACTTTCATCGAGCAGACCTGTTCCAGCTGTCCCAACCATTCGACTGCCCCCGGCTGCTTGCTTGACTCCTTAGCCGAGTAGGACCGGAATCCCGACGGAACCCATCCACCCCGTGAACTTCACAGCTTCACGCCTGGATCTTGTCAACCGTCGCTCCGGTCATTCTACTGCTTGCGCAAGAGCCCCCAGTGCGCCCTGGGCAGGGTCGGTGTCACGCTGGAACCCTCTGCTCCTGAAAACCCTGCGAAGGACTTGCGGCGAAAGGGAGAAAGGACTATGACATGACCACGGTAAGTTTTCACCCAGCTGGTTCCTTTCCGCTACGTTGTGCACATCTAGCAGGTCGAATCCAAGCGACTTTGAGATGTCGTCCGCCGAAGACGCACGATTTGTCCACACTGCCTTTGCGGTGCGTGAAGACCAAGATGGAGGACGGCCCGAATTCATTGACCAGCCCTTCAAACTTAACGCCGTATATCAGTCGTCAGCTTCAGCCCTCTTCCGTCTCAGTACATCCATCACCGACAGTGCCTCCATCAAAACCACCATCTATCTGCAAATCACACCCGACCGTATCGCTTCGCTGCAAAACACGACTTGCGACACGAGCGACGCAAATGACCGAAGCCAATCACACCTCGAACGCGTCCGCCAGCGACTGGGCGGCAAGCGCCTTTTGACTCGCCTCCAGTTCCACCTGCACAGCGGCCTCTATGCCCAGCTCATCGTGCCGGCTGGTTTCGCATGCGACGAGGCCCCCGACAGCCCCGCGCGGCATGCCTTTCGCTCCACTGCCTCGCTCGCGACCGCTCCGACGTTCTCCATATACATGCCGCACAACGTCTTGCCGATGCTGAAGTTTGAGACTTTTGTCCAGGCTGTGCGGCAGTTTGCGACTCTGACGGCAACCCAGCGTCAGTCATACGAGCGTATGGTGGATCTGCGCAGGCTGTACAGTGGCAAAGGTGGCGTTGTGTTCACACCCGAAGAGGACCAAAATGCTGGCTCTCTGAGAGTTGATGAACGCAACGGATCCGCGACACCCTCGACGGAGTCGTGTGCTTCCACAGTCCCCTTTGATGCTGTTCCGCGTCTCCAAGATTCACCTCCGCAGTATGACGAATGCGTGGCCGAGGGACCGCAGCCGAGGATCAGCATGACCGCCGCCGCGGCAGCTGCCTTCGTCAAAAGTGCTCGCGTTGATGACGCTCTACCTGAGTACGGCGGCAGCGAAAGGCAGCACCGAAGGCTGCGGACTTCTAAACGTGTGCTGCACTGCGGGAGCGAAGAGATCGACTTGCACCCATCTTCGAAAAGGGCACATTTCCAACGTTCATTCGCCAGCGTCCACGCAACTTCAGCAAACGCCCAACGTCCCGAAGAAAGGTCAGAATCTCAATTTGCAGATGCGGACTGTGTCCAGAGCAGATTGGCGTTTCTACTCGAGCAGCAACATCAACAAATCCAACGGCTACAAGAGGATGTCGAAGAACTTCGGAGACGTAACAAGGAGCTTGAGGGACGGCACGATGAGGTGGAGGACAACTGCGGTGATCTAGAGAACCGTCAGAACGAGACCGAGGAGACTGTCGAGTCTCTCCTCATCCACACCGGCGAGCTTGACGAAGAATGCGAGAAGCTCGGGAAGCAGATGCCAGACATGTGTGACGAGATGGAGGACTGGGTGAAGGATAACTTGGGTGACGCGATGAAAGAGCATATGAGTAAATGGCTCGAAGAGAACATGGCGGAAACTATAAATGGATATATTAATGAGAAGGTTGTAGCCCAAATAGCTCAAATGAAAGCGAAGATGCGCAAAGCCCTGTTAAATTAGGGACTGTTGCCATTACTTGGATACCCATACAACACTTGCCCTGCATGCCCCGTGGATGGGAGAGATGCCGTGACAAAAGAAACAAAATCAAATGGTCTGCACTCGACTATCGTCAAGTCTCACAGGTTGCCTGTGATCGTTCTGCAAACCATTGAGTATGCCAATTCCTCCATGGGTTAAGCATCCAAGCTCGACTTCAACCCATCCAGTTCCTTCTTGCTCACAGTCAGATGGTCAAGCTGAGCCTGCAAATACTTCACAGCGTGCTCCAACCGTGGCATGGCGTTCAAGACCCTCTGTTTTGCCCGCCGCAGGTGCCTTCTTTCTGCGCGGCCCTGGCCATGCATCCATCCGCCAGTGTCGTCTTCGTGCCGACTTTCACGATCCCACTGCTCCAAGAGCTTCTTCTGTTCGTCTGCCGTAAGCTTTGTGGATGCCTTTTCCAGTATCTCGAGAACTTGCTGAACCTCTGGAGTGAGCCTTCTCACTTTGGCTTGGTGCTCCTCAACGGCGGCTCTGAATTGATTTTGTTTCTCAGCCCAAAGAGCATTGAGTTCATCGATAGTGAAGCTGCCACTGCTAAACTCGAGATGAATCTTGAAGCTTTCTCTGGAGTAAGGTATCCCGGGCAAGAGGCTTGGAGTGGCTGTCGAGTCGCCGAGTGCCCTGAAACAACTCCTCCACACGCTTGTGTTGACTTCGGTGGGCGGATCAAGGTCGGCCATGAGATGGACAGCGTTCACCAGCAGGCATATGCCGCAGTCGTATCCATTTATCTGCTGGTAGCACGGGCGAGGAGTGATGCGGTACTCCTCAAAGTAGAGGTTCTGCAGCGCATAAAGTAGGCGGTGCACTTCATCGTTGTCCCCGGCGAGGGAGTCGTAAACTTGTATCTCCTTCTCATCCTTCAGAACGCAACATAAAACCCAGTGGTGGCTGTCCGGAAGGTGGAGGGGGACGAGAATCCTGGTTGTCTCGCTCCTTGCGATGGCCACTTGCACGCTCGCATATCTCGTCGTGCTGCCAGCCTTGAAAAGGTGAGGGTTGATGATGGAGCACCCTAAGCCCGTGGTGCTAGAGAAGACATCTAAACAGGTTGTGATGACACCATCGTCCAACTCCGCTCCAGGGGCGAGTCTCGCATGGAAGTTCGGGGGGATTTCGAAGGCGACACTTTCCAGCGCATCATCCAACCCCCTTTCAGCAACGCCCGGTCGCTCGTCTTCGGTATTTGACGATATAACTGTCCTTTTCCTTAGTATGATGGAAGGCTTCGCCCCGGTTGAGTCAGGGGTTGGGAGACCCGTCACGGCTGCTGTCTTTGGTGGCAGAGACGGCGTAAAGGGACTTTCCAAGCCTTGCGAGGCATCGTTGCTTGTTCTCGGTTTCTTTGACGGAGTCGACTCGGAACCTCTTACTGGGAGATCATGTGTGGAAGAGCTCCCTCGTCCAACGTCGGAGACCTGATCTTCGGGTAGCCTCTTTCGAGTTTGCCCTTTAGACGGTGCTGGGTCGGTGACATTGTTCTCGAGTTGAAGCTTGATGTCATGTTCCAATCCTGCCACGTCATGGGGCTCTGCCATTCCATCGTCGTCCTTGGTGGGAGCTCCTGCCGTGCGCCTTGTTGGTACACGAGCAGAAGGTTTTGATGTGGTGGAGCTTACACCTTCCCTGGACAGCCGTCTCTCAACTCGCAATGAAGCTTTTGCGATAGAAGTCAGTTTCCCGGTTGCCTTGACTTCTTCAACGGCATTTTCTGACGATTGTTCCGACTCTTCTGGCGGATTTCGTCCTTGCGACGCAGTCTCTCGACGTGGAGTACTCCCGCTGGTGTCCGGCGTTGGACTGGATGTCTCCTCGCTTGAGACCGAATCGTGGGTGGCTCTGCTTTCCCGCGACTGTTGCAAACGGCCATTTGTAGGAGACTTGCCATCTTGGCGTCGTTCTGATTGATCTTCCGAAAGATGCCGACCCTCGGCCTGGTTCTTGAGATGTTCCAACGCCCTCTTGACTTCCCATGGCTTCCACATCACACTTCGATTGGAGCCGCGCACTCCGACCTGACGTTCCCCTTGGTACCGCCGTAAAAGCGGCAAAGCCTGCTCCGCGGTGGACTGGCGAACCAGCTTAGCTAGCTCTTCCCAAAATGCACGGCTGTCGACATCCGGAAAGGTTTCGACCAAGTCATCCTCGCTCCAATTCCACTCTCGCAGGATCAGTGCCTTCTTCGACCGAATCCGTCGTCCTTGCTCCCTGATATAATGAAGGCTCTCTTGGTCGTCACGGGAGAGCCTTTCAAGCAAGGAATCTACGGACGCGAATCGAGCATACCTGCTACATATCGCCTCCCATTTGGCTACGACATCTTCCCCTGCTGCGAGATGGTCGCGAAGAATTACGCGAAAGTTTTCAAGCTCGTTTTCCAAGTTTTTCTCTTCGTTATTAACCTCACGGGAGTCTTGAATAACAGAAATATCCGTTAGCGTTTTGCCGCTCATGACGCACATCTGGTATGAAGATGACCCGTGTAAAGCACACCTGTTTCTTGAGTTTTCCGCAAATTGTCGGTGCCAATCTGCCCAGACCGTGTTTGTATGTTCGGTCGAATGACACGTAGTTTAGGCACCGTGGGTGCCTTTTTCGAACTTCGCGTCTGAGGCATCTTGAGAGACTGCGTGGTGGATGAGTGAAGGGCGGGGTCGATGAACCAAAGTCGCAGTTGTTTGAGTTTCAGTGAACGAATCCTTCTTGATTTTGGGATGAAACAAGCGAACCCCGTTGGAGCCCCCGGCAAAGATGGTTACTGAAAGTCAAACCTTAGCTGTCAAGGTTGGTGTGAATGGTCTGAGGTTGGCTGAATGCACGGACTGACCCCGGTTGATGATGACGAGCACCGTTCCAACTCTCGCATCACGTGAGTCTCGTGTGGTGCTACCTTGGTTCGCAGCTTTCTTTCATGTGCCACAGCCACCTGCTCAACGTCGGAGCGGAAGCGTGTTAAGCTCCAGCCGAATTGCAAAAGAGATGAAACTTTCGACGGGCCAGAGTAGCGTGATTGGGCAGTTGGGAAGATGAAAAGCGAAATAAGATCATGAAGCCGTAAGTACTGAAATATTGTCGCACATTGGTCGGAGATGGTGCTGATGGATGTGTCCAAGAAGCCGAGATTGACAGTCTCTAGGAATTGGCCTTGACGGCAAGCCAATGCGGAAACGAAGATTGACGCAGTGTTCTCCTTCGTTGCACAGCTTTCGCAGGCGGGGTGCAGTTAGAGTATCTGCCGTACCGATGCAGCTTAGCCCCCAGTGCAGGTCTATTCACCAAGACACCTCTCTGGTTGGTCGGTAGGTAGCTAGGCATCATGAGATTCCTCCCGATATCAGCGCCAAAATCGGGAGGGATCTGTTGCACATCGCTGTATCTACAGAAGGTACCTGCCGATTTTAGCGCTGAAATCGGGAGTTATCCACTGACCGCACTGGGGTGGCCCCTGCAAATGCACCTGGGCTGGCCATGTCCGGGAGAAAGCTGCCGTCTCCGCCCTCCCGTCCTCAACCTCTCCCCGAGAAGCAGTTGTCAAGGTCTCCGACATCAAGGTGTGCGACATCAAGGTCTTCAGAACCACAACCGTTGATTCGCACTCCAGAGCCTCGAACCGACACAACGTCGATATGGTCGAAGCGGAACAGTCCACCACAAGAACAATTCTTGGTGGTCTCTGCAGGCAGCCGCACGGGAATGATGCACCGGTCGGACCCTGTTCTACCCTGTCGGTCGCCGCGGCGGTCATCCATCGTCCCCATTTCGGCCTTAGCATCATCACCTCTGGGACTCCCAACATGGCGCGAAATCCGGTGCAGGCCTAAATCAATGCGCCACACGATGCGCTCATTGCCAAATCGCCATGTTGCTCTTGAACGCTGATGTGACTACTGCGGCTCTCACATAACGTCATCCAGTCCGGCAGAGAAGCAATAGGCCAGTGTCATCGCTTTTTTTGGACTCCGTGATGCCTGTCTCGTCACCTTACCAGGAAGTCGTGCGCCTTCGCATGTAACAAGCTGGGTAGCTTGAAGCAAGCACATGCGACCATACCCACTAGAGAACTCGGGATCCCGCCCGCTCTCCAAAAAATAGCCAGTGAGGGGAGTGTTTTCAGTTGGGTTGCTGATGACTACCGAACATTGCGCCTTTCGTTTGTTGGCGGTGAGAACGGCCCGATCAGGAGCGCCGGCTCTGCTACGTTGGCACCTCTTGGGGCCTGTCGCAACTGGCTGCACCACACTATCTGCCTTTTTGTCTATAGACTCAATCACAAGGAAGTACGAGGAGCACTATCACAGAAAGTTTTGTTAACTCTTTGGACACTAGAGACTATCGCTTATATAACCAGTCATGGAATCCCCTTAACCAGCTGCTTGAATAAGAATGTCTCCTCTGCTTAGTCTGAAAGATTGACAGAAGACAAAAACAGAAACGAATAGAGTGGCAGACGGCAGGCATCATTTCAAATGAATCTGCTAAAGCCCGATGGGCCAGACGCAAATGCGTCTTAGCAGGAATTAGGGGGGTTGGACACCTGGCCGGTGGACAGTGAGTCGCCCACCGAGTTGGGCGCGTTGTACTCGACAAAGAAGTTGTTCTGGGTAAACGCTCCCAAGTAGGACCACTGAGCGCTCCGCTGGGGGCTGATCTGGCGGTTCTGAATGCCGACGCTCGCGTCGCTGCCCTTGAGCCTGCTCTGGTAGTATTCGAACCTAGAGCGTCCGGTGCTGGCCTCGTAAAACGTGACCGAGAAGTGGATGTAGTCGGTGCCGTCCGAGCTGACGATGTACTCGACTACGAGCTCTCTGCCGGAGAATCGCGTGGAGGGGCGCACCAGGAAGTACACGCCCCACTCATTGATGTCCGGGATGCGCAGGTCGGCGTTGTAGGGCAGGATGGAGATGGGGGGGATGTTGCCGCCTGTGTTGGGGACGGCGCGGGCTTGGTTATCGGTGGTGGTGGTGAAGAGAGATATGAGGCCATTGATGTGGACGTAGATCGTGGTGTCGGTCGTGCCGTAGAGGCCGACAGAGAATGGGACGTTGATGGTGGCGAAGCCCGTATCGTAGTTGTTGAAGACGAGCTTGGTGGGGTTCTGGAGGCGGACGGCGGGTTTGATATTGAAGTTACAGCCGGTGAAGGCCGGCGACGTCGACGAGGAGCTGGACGAGGACGTGGATGATGAGGTTGTGGTGATCGTTGAGGAGGATGAGATGAGCGATGAGGAAGATGAGGAAGAGGAAGAGGATAGTGAAGAAGAAGATGACGAGCTAGAGGTAGAGGAGCTAACTGTAGAAGATGAGGAAGATAAGGAAGATGAGGAAGATGAGGAAGATGAGGAATATGAGGAAGATAAGGAAGAGGAAGAGGAAGAGGACAGTGAAGAAGAAGATGACGAGCTAGAGGTAGAGGAGCTAACTATAGAAGACGAGGAAGATGAGGAAGATGAGGTTAAAGTAGCAGTTAATGACGAGGATAAGGCAGACAAGGAAGATGAAGATAACAGGGATGAAGATGATGTAGATGAGGAAGATGAGGTTGAAGTAGTAGTTATAGATAAAGACGATAGAGATGAGGAAGATAAAGATAATAGGGATGAAGACGATATAGATGAGGAAGATGAAGTTAAGGTAGCAGTTATAGATGAAGACAAGAGAGATGAGGGAGGTGAAGATAATAAGGATGAAGATGTGGGAGATGAGGGAGGTGAAGATAATAGGGATGAAGATAAGGGGGACGAAGAGGACTGGCTTGAGGAAGACTGGATGCTCGTCCCTGTCAACGGCACCAATGAAGACAAGGTAGGAGACGAGGAAGCGGAAGGACTAGATGGCGTCACCAACACGCTCGTAGAAGAAGCGGACGTGCTACGCGAGGTCTGCGAGGTGCTGTTGCCAAAGAAGGTCCAAGAGAGTGAGGACGACGGCATCACGCTGGCGGCGCTCGAAGTGCTAATCTGTAGGGCCAAAGAAAGAAAACCTCCTGTTAGAATGCACCTTCTGAAAGAGAAGAAATACCAAGGAGGGATACTCACTGCAGCGCTGATTGAGGAGCTGGCACTGCTAGACGTTCCGCCGATGCCGCCCACGATGGCTAGGATGAACTCGGAGCCCGGTGGGAGGATCTGGTCATTCTGGCGGCGTTCGAGACCCGTCCCAGCGACGGCCGCCGCTCCGAAAAGCGTGGCAAACAGAATAGAACGCCTCATAGTTGGCCGTTGACGAAAGACTAGTAGTGATTGTACGAGGGAGGAACTTTGTGAGTCCTGTTCAAGACGAGGAGCGGAAAGGCTTCTAGAAGTAACCCGGCAGCATTTGGTGAGAGGTCAGGGGCCAAGGATCCCGAAAGACTGTTTCGTGACGAGCAGAAGCATTTTGATGCGCTCTGGGAAGTGAAGGGTCTCATCTAGGCAATGTTCAGGTCTTGGTCCAGATGTGAAGCTGGGGGGCGCGTCCCAGGTGTTTTGGCGAGATATAATTAAAGAAGATTGTTCTAGGGAGGGCGGGTGGAACGTAAAACGACGCGAAGAAACTTATGGAAATGAAGGCTTGAGCTGAAACTGGATCTTCTGAGCGCCTCGATTTTCTCTTCGACATCTCCCAGAACACAACCACTCCCGGAGAAGCCGGATTTGCTTGTTTGTGGAGATGTTCAAATAATCCAACGCCGTTCAAGTCGAGACCATGTTTTTAAAGAAGCGTCCCAAATTATCTCCTGAGCTAACGCGTTATGGATGAGTTTTACCATTCCTTACTCAGTAGCCGCCTCTACAAGCAGGGGCCTCTGGAGGCGATAAGTCAGGGATCCAAGTACCAAAAGTAGCATTTCTCACCCTTGTATTGATTTACGTCGTGGCGCAAACATTCCGTGCCTGGAATGCGGTCGCTTGCTCTTTCGTACTCTAAACCAATCAGGCGCCCTAAAAAGGTCACCGCAAAAGCCAAAAGTAAGCTTAACGAGGAGGCTGCCCAGCGGGGTTCAACTCTCTGTTGGCCTTTCTGCCTTCCTTCCCTTGGTCATTCTATGCGGAAGGGGCCGAGCAGCCGAACAAAGCAATGCAAACGTCGAGAGGTTGCTCAGCTCAGAGTCGCGCAAGGCAAGGCGGCCTCAAACGTCTTGCCCATGTGAATCAAAGGTCTCTCCGCAATATATGACCTACAGACGGCGGCGACGTCAATGCGGCCAGTACGCCCACGTGGGCAACTCTGCGCTTCCAAGACTCAAGACTCAAATTGCGGCGGCGCGGGACTTTTAGCATCACACATCACGATTTCCCACAGTTTCGTCACAGAAAAGACCTTAACTATCTTCAGGAGAACTTTCACCTAAAATTGTTTGTCCGTTTTAAGAGAATGACCGTCAAAAGCGCTACTGCGACTCCCTGGTCACTTGCGTTGCTGCCTGGCAGGGTGTGCCATTCACAGTTTGCGACACACTCGGTCAGCTCGGTGAGACGGGTGGTGGGCTCCACTTTCGTGGCTGTCAAATGCACCAAAGTGGAGCTTTCTCGGTGAGGCCGTCCAGCCAGAGAAGTTTGCTCCAGACACGGCCAACGTTATCGGATCAATCATCTCACCTGCCATCCACGGCACCGCTTGGCGAAAGTCAGAAACCGCTGACAAACGTAATCCTTCCTACTGCAATTTGGAAGTCACACAGATGGTTTCCTCAGCAAGCTTTCGTTCTGCCTACGCCCCGCATCCAGTCGTTCTCCCTCCCACATCTCCTTCGGACCCCTTTCGGCCCCCCCGCCACCATCATTGTCAGCGTGCGGCATTTCATTCAACTTGTTCAATCCCGGCGCCCTCTCCGACTTGGTTCCTTAGCCGCCCGACTCGCCGCTCGCGCGAGATAGGAGGTTGGCGTCGTGCACACTCCATCCACTACGTTGCGTTCGTCGGCAGGTCTGCCGCGGCCACCAGTCGACCTGCGTGCCCGCGTCTTCGACATCTCTCGAGTCAAGCCCGCGCGAGACAGCCTGGAAGACGCGCATCGCCGTGTCGGCCCCCCCGGCGTCTTTGGACCCGGTGGTGTGGGGACGAATTGCTTGTGTATTCCGACCGACCGACCGAATCGTACCCGCATCGCTGGGCAGCCAGACAAACTCGATCAAGGGTCTGGGTACCTTCACCTCCTACTGCATCTAGGGAATGACCACCACGACCATTGCCGAAAGTGGAACCGCGATCATGGCCTGCTGTTGGAATCTGAGAGTCTGCGAGTACTCATCACGTATCGCAGCCTGCCTCGGCGACAATGTGACAGGGAGCTAATGGGAAGTCGAGGTCTTTGTCAGTGATTGGGAAGGGTCTGGCGCGACGGAGACTTCCGGTGTGGTCGTGGATGAACGACGACACGAACTGTCGACATGCGAACTCGAGATGCAGCGCGGACATGTTCAACACCGTCATGGAATATGCTTGCAAATGCCGAAGACCGACCTTTGCTTGGAGACGGACACAGCAGCCGTGTGGTCGAGCCTGGCGCGGATCGAACAAGTGGCTTTGAGCGGCGTCGAGATCGGGGCTGCCGATGAGCCTGATCCTGCTAAGAGCTTTGGGGAGATTGGCGGGCCGTGAAGGCCACCCCCGAACGAGAGCTGATCGGACAGTGTCCTGGACTCCTAGTAGGGTTTCTTTTGCGTGTCTGTTCAAGACAGACAAGCGGCAACGTTTACCAAGGCGCATTACGTTGACTTGCAGATCTTCAGATTGATTCGAAGTCGTCGCTGACTACCTCAAAGTCAAAGAAAGAACGCAACACTTCGACAACCTATGTTTGTCGCGGTCGATGATTGATACAAGCTAAGGGAGGTTGAGCTGATTATGATTGCGATCCAATACGTAGCGTCAAGAGGCGTTTTGTATGGAAAGATGTTTCAAAATCCGGAGTTCGAAGTCCACTGCGAACTACCTTCCTTCGCTTTTTTTCTCTCCCAACCATTCACAGATTCTGGCCCTTGTCCCACCTCTCCATTCTGGAACGAAGCTTTAGTTTTACTCCATCGATTCTCCGATTCCTCCCCAAATCAAATCCAGACGCAGGTCAGGGTCAACGTCCACAACCAGCTTCAAGTGGAAGCTCCAGATCGGCGGGGTCAACTCCAGATCCATGATCAAGTTCCAGAGAACAGCAAGCCCAAACGGACATACAAAGAGCCAGACGACGGTTTTCCTGTGAATCTACAGGAGAGGCGCCGGTTCTGTGTGTACGAAGCTTCTATAACGGGGGGCTCAAGCTCGTTGCTCCGTCAGCCAGGGCCCATCCGTGGTGTTGCCGGTATCTTAAAGAAAGCGGCGGCCTGCAGCAATAAGCGAGATGGGAAATGGGATGCCCCAAACCTCACAGGCACAACTTTTAGAACAGACAGTCCATCGAGGACTTGCAGAGCGGAAGGCCTAGAGGACGTTTAGTGAATGGATCCAGACGGAGTGATTGAAGGTCAAAAGACGGGATTGGAGAATCGAAGCCGGTCAGCCGAAGCAGGGAGAAAGACAAACTGAAGCGGTGCATCTCAAGCTATCACTCCGGCTACGGGGCCTCATCAGTCCCTGATTAGAAGCTTTACGGACGAGGAATGTGTTCTGCTTCGATCAGAAAGGGAGGTTCGCTTACCATCTCTCTTTGAAGTTAAACCACGGAGATTCAACTGGACGGGACGTGTTTTTGAGGACTGTCGAAAGAAAGGCCGTTTCAGTGCTCGGCCGTTGCCCTTACAGCGGCACTTACAGCGGCACGAACTTCTCGTGCCCATCCCAGAGGCTAATGAGGAGCGATCTCTCGCCAACCCACGGCGAACGCGCGTGCTGCGCTCAGTTGTCAGCCGATTGGACCCGACCAAGGAAACATCCGTCTTGCGGAACGCTACCTGAACCGTGTAGTTATCCAGCAGCGCCACATCGCCTTCTTCCCACGGAACCAAAAACTGAATCTCGTCGCCAATCTCGAGCAGTCGCTCCAGATGCTCCGGTGGAATCTCGCTGTCGTCGCCGTACGTCGTCGGCAGGTGATAGCGCCCGTCGCGCCCGCGATGCGGCGGATCGAGAGCCTGCTGGTCGCGCATGCGGCCAAAGACGCCCGCCAGGCCGTTGAAGAAGGTGAGTTTGCTCGTCGAGGCGACCCTGCGGATGGCGGGCACCCTGGAGAGAACAATGAGCGAGCCGTCGCGTTGCCACTCGGCCTCGACGTGGAGATGGTCGGCGAGGAACCTTTCGACTTTGGCGCGTTGGACCTCGAGCGTGTCGCCCTCTTCGATTTCGTGACCATACGAATCCTGTGAATTCGTGTGAGTTGCTCAGCTGTTGATAACGTCCGAACAGGTGCGACTTGCCTTCCAGTTCCAGCCGACGTTTTTCCAGTTAGGGTCATCTTTTGATGGGTAGTATTGACGCCCGATGACACCTGGGCGAGAGCATCAGCCGTGCCAAGTTATGGAACGCCCTTGTATGTTCTGTCTTCACCTTTTTTCTTCAAGTCTCTGATGAAGTCTGGCAACTCTTTCTCAAGTCTGTCATACAACTCCAGTGAAGACAATAATGGAGTCTGGCCGCCTAATAACCTTGTTAGATCCCGAGAAGCAGCATGCTGTGTGTAGTGGATTGACACATACCTTGTTGAGGGACCTTCTCTGAGAAGAAGAACAGCACACCCGGGAAGTTTGCAGACCGGCCATACTCATTGTGGAAATAGAATCGGATGGTTGGGGGCTCTTCGTTGGCTGTCTTGACCGTCTCTGAGATGGTGGTCCGTTTCCCAGAAAGACCGATTTCCCGATGAAGGTTGGGCAGGCCGAAGGCGTGCACGAACTTTGAAAAGTCGCCCGCGTCTTTTAACGGAAAGCCGCGGAAGAGAATCGTGCCGTCTGTGGTTATCAGCTCATATGTATGATTAACTCGAGCACTGGGAAGACCAACGGTCTGTTAGGAGTTTGTTGAAGACGTTCTTGTCCGCCAAAGCCTTCAAGTGGGAGATGGCGTCATCAATGTTAACGAATGATTGCCCTTTCTTGACCTGAATCCCTAGAGGAAAACCCTGGCCGTGTACTGTGCGTCTTCCGGGGATGCTGAAGATCTCCACCCGGTTCTCCGTGCCCGGGAGCTCTGGGCCGGTCGCGTCGGGGGCTGTCGCAGGCATGTTTAAGTCTTGCAACCACGGACTTCGGCAAAAGCAAAGAGAGTGAGAAAGAGAGAGATAGAAAGAGATAAAAAAAAAATTGCCGTGATGTTGGCGAGATTCAGGACAAGGAGGCTTAATCACTTCCAGCGAAGGATAGGGCTTGACCTTTCATCTTGCCTCAACAGAGAGACAGGCTGCACAATACCAACACAGCCTGTATCCATCACAAACCGACGGGATGAAACGACATTGCATCCCTCATGGCATCATTACCAGAATATACGACGTTGCAGAGATAAGCAGGGCCCGAGGAGATCCCGGCCGGCTAAGTTCTTACCCTGGCCACTCAGAGGTCATGCACTGCTGGTGACGCAATTCTCCGGCCGAGTTGTGACATGGCTTCACATTTTGCCATACACGGAAGTATCACGGAAGTATTCTGCCCTCTGATAAGACGTCACCCTCACAGGACCCGTAAAATTTGGCCCACTTGTCAGCTCGCACCCATACTCGGGTCATGCGTGCGAGAGTGCGAGACGGGCATTTTCCGTGACATGGGTTGATTTTTGGAAAGCAAGCGAGGCCGAAATACGGAGGCTCTGATGGACGTTAAATGCGAGGAGCTTATTGTAGAGTTTTTCTTGTGCAGGACAGCTCAGTACTGTTTTCTGTGCAAGCTTTTCGTTTGAAATAGGATTTTGCTGCAATGGCGCCCGTGTCGCTAGAAGACAATGTGCCTTCAAAGGCCAGCGAGTTGACAACTCGTATCGTTCCCGCCGTTGAGGAAGAGCGGGAGACGACGTGGCGGCATTTTTTCTGGGATGCGTGGGACAAGACGCCCGAAGAGAGAAGGCTGATTTTCAAGGTATTTTGAAGTTATTTAATTCTAGAATTCCCTGGTGGGTTTGCTGACTTCGCAGATGGACATCACCTTGATGACTTTTGGATGTCTTGGAACATTCATCAAGTATATTGATAGGTAAAATGAGCCATCCGCCCTTTTCTTCCAATTATTAACTGATGATTGATGAACCATCTAGATCCAACTTGAACACGGCGTTTGTGTCTGGAATGAAAGAGGAAATGTCACTTTACGGGAACGTAAGAACTCCGCACACGCCTAAAGCCGAGACGATGACTGTTCTGACAAGAAAAAGGAGCTCAATTACGCCAACACCGCGTACAGTGTAGCGAACGTATGAATAAGATCCATTCGAAGGAAACATTCTCAAGGAACGAAGTCACTGACACTACGAAGATCATAGGACTGTGGCCCGTCAGCATTGCCCTGACTCGTTCGACCCCGAGATACTTCATCCCGTAGGTATGCACTTAACAGGCTTTCCTTTCTGCCCAGTACTGATCCAGCGGTGTTCGACCAGGCTGATGGAAACAGGATGGACCATATGGTAAGACCATCTTACTACAGCCTGGTAGACTCTAACAATGAGCAGCACTCTTGGTCAAGCCTTCATGCGTACTCCGCTGCAAATGTACGTCATGAGGTTCTTGCTTGGTCTTTTTGAAACGTGAGTCCTATTCTTCAATCGACGGCAAGATGTTTCCAACAATATTGACTGGAGCAAGTGGTCATTGGTCCTCAAGTAAGTGCAGCTCTTGGCCATGGACGTGGCGGTCGGTCTCACCTGCTACATAGTCATCTACCTATGCGGTGCATGGTATCAGAAACGAGAACTATCCCGCGTATGTCGAATTGCCAGTGTAACAGCACGCGGCGGTCTGAACTGACACCGACGCTAGAGAATTGCAATCATGAACTGTGCCACATCCATCGGCCCCATGTTTAGCTCGTACCTCCAAGCGGCGGCATACACGGGACTGAATGGTGTTCACGGCCTCTCAGGCTGGAGATGGGTTAGCGCTTTCGTAGACAAGGCGAAAAACAACTCGAAATGGGTGCTAACCCAGGTCGCAGCTTTTCATTATTGACACCGTCATCTCCGTCGGAATCATCATCCCGCAATTCTTCTTCTACCCGGATGTCCCGGCGAGACAGCAGCCAAGCATTGTCTTCAGCGAAGCCGTAAGCCAGCGATTCTTTCAGACATCCCCTTTCCGTCTGAATTCACCACGTAAGCAGATGCTGACGGGCTTCTTTGACAGGAGATAGAGCTCGCTAGAGACCGCAACCCAAAGGAGGGCCGCGTCAAACAGGGAGCCTTTACCTGGGCCCAAGCCAAGCGCTGTGTCACGACCCCGGATATTTTTCTTTTGTGGCTAATTTCCGTGTAAGTTTCTGGTTCTCCTTTCCTTGCTTGACATGATGGTCGATAGAAGGCTTACTTGGCTAACCAATCTCCTTCATAGTTGCAACTCCGTCGCTCATATGCCCTCCGACTCCATGGCGTTCTGGTTCAAGGCCTGGAACACCATCAAACCGAGCTCATATACCGTCCCACAGATAAGTAAGTTATTTTCTCCACGAGAAGATCTCAAGCAAAGTACCTGATGAAAGCAGACAACTACACCACTCCTCTCGGAGGCGTGACCGTGATCCTCACGCTCGTGTTTGCCTGGTCCAGTAGGTTTAGCATAGGCCACCATAATAGTCTCGTGACTCATTGATGTTCCTGCAGGTGACACTTGGTTGAAGGGCCGTCGCTGGCCGATGTTGGTGGTTGGCGGTGTGGTTACTGGCATTGTTTGCATTCTCTTGGCCACTACGCCCGTCTTCCCTCAAAACAAAGCCTTTAGATGGTTCCTCTACTACAACACGAACTGGGCTTTCGCTGCCAACACCATGTTTTGGTCTTGGACACAAGACACACTGTGAGCACCTCTGAAGCTGACGAAGCGGTCCGAGCTGATCCTGATGGCGAATGTAGCTCCGGGGACCCCTTGACTAGATCGTTTGCAAGCGCCGGACTGAATGTATGCAGTTGGACAACTATAGCCGTGGTGTAGGTAGCTCCTGTTCCCTCATTCATGTTGCGTGAGTACACTCCTGACAAGGCGCCTACAGACCCCTGTTCGCTTTCAAGACGGTCGATCAACCTGCGGTTATCGGCGGCAACTGGGGCGCGGCGGGGATGGCGTTTCTCTATGCGATCGCCGCCCTCACACTTGCTTACATTCAGTACAAGCGGGAGAAGAAGAGATTAGAGGCCGAGGTCGAGACGAGCGGCACGGAACACAGTGGTTAATCCGCGGACACTGCTTACTGCTGTCCGTGTCTACTCAAGTAGTTACCGAGTGGGATTCACCTAAATCCTAGGTTTTGAGATCTAGGAGGCTTATTTAGTGATTGTGAGTAGAACCTCGACACTTAAGCCACTGCGAGTGTAGCTGTTACTGCGGAACAAGATATGCAGAGGCAAACCAAGGAAGGGTCCCTCGGGCCATAGATCCATTCTCGATGGCAGATGGTTACGGCAACGCAATGGGGAATGTTGTCTCCACAGGTTGGTGCATACACTGGTCACCGTTCGTCTGTTCTTGCGGCGGCGGATACAGCGACCATGGCTTTGCGGGGTCTTGAGGACAGGATCATCGGAGGCGTTTAGTTCAGGCTGAGTAGACTGAAGAGGAAACGATGAGAGAGACTTACGGACGGATTTAGTAGTCGTCTGGTTGTCAGCTGTCTTTGGGAATTGTCCTACCAAGTAGGGGTATGCGAGATAAATGCAGAACTCCTTACAACAAATGTTGGAAACGTCTGCTCATGCATGGAAGACAGTGAAACGGTTGGGATATGTAATTCGACTGCTGGTGCTCACGCAGAAACAGGTATTGGCAAGTGATTTGAGCTCGACTGCCAGCTGCGAAGGTTACATGGGCAGCTTCGTCTGAAAACATCGGTGACGGAGAAAGGCAATGAGCGCGGAATATACAAAGCCCATGCTTGACAAACAAATCCATACTTTGTCTACTTGAGCCGTAAAACGCAACGATAGGAGGCAAGGACGAAAATGGAGGAGACTTTCGTCAACTGATGGTGGTATCTTGACGGAGTACACCGTTCCACAACGCAAGTTTGTATGGGAGACACGGGTTTCGTCGAGTGTACAATCCAAATGATTGACGCCCTCAGTCACAAGAACTGGGTTCTCGCCCCGCTATCGTGGCACAAAGAAGGAGAGTTGTTGAAGTGGAGACGCAAGACGTGGGGAGTATTGGAACGCTTTACTGAGGGCATTGATTCGGATTCCTGAAGATATCTGCGGGGTACCGCAGCTTTCAACCTAGTCTAGGTCGTCGGGGGCCAGGAGGATTTGTCGGGTTCGTCGATGCTCCGGAAAGAGGGGCACTGGTTCTCGGTCGGTTCTTGCGGGAGGGTGATGTTGGAAGGTGTCGTCTCGGATTGTCGACTGAATCGGATCAAGGTGTCGATGTGCTTGTAAGGGAGATTGGATCTCAGCCTGTGGTCGTGGAAGAGGGATCGTCGGGAGTATTGAGTCGAGTTGACAGGATGCCTGCATGATGAATGTTCCCGAGAGCGGGAGTGTCAGTAGGAGAAAGAAGACGCAAATCAAACAAATAATGGAAGGGCACCTTGGTCAAGGTTCCTTATTGATGGCACGAGACAGCCACAATAAAGGGGACAGGTCGCGGCGGGGGGTGCAGCGAACATGGTCGGCATCCGCGTTTGTGCCTTTCGGAGTGACGGGGCTGTTGTAGGTGTTTCGCGCGGAAAAAAGAGGGAACGATGTGAAAGGTTGATGTTAAGAGACTCGAATGACGCTGAGGTTCGTCCCGGTGGAGGCTGGAATTTGACAAAGAGGCAGGTGCATGGGCAAGGCGCCTGCCATGTCACGTACCTGTCAAGCATGGTCCAAAAGTGAGGTAGGAGCGCATCGAACGGCTGAGTAGGCTGCATGCAGAAGAATCTCTGGGAAGGCATGGGGGGGAAAGTGGTTACCGAGGAAGGTTATCAACCCAGGCAAGATCAACAAGAAAGAACCTAAGTCGGGGGCAGGAGCAGCAGCAGCAGTCGCAATGGCCAAAAGGTGCTGGAGCTTCGCCGGTCGGACGAGCCAACCTCATCCTCTGCACGTCTT